AGTGGACGGGGGAGGGTTTGATTTTTGGGCTTCTTTTGCTTGTTTGTGGGTGGTTAGAGGAGGCGGGTTTGCATTCGGTGGGTGAGAGGTGGTTTTGTTACTTTCTTTTTTTTTCTTCAAAACCTCAATATGCAAGAATTTGATCTTTCGCACTTTTGCTCTATTTCCTCAACTCTTGACGACGTGATTCTGCACTTTCTTTGTTGTTTATCATTTCGGGATTCTTTTTGATGAGGCCTACCATCACCAGCTGTGTGCTATCTTCTCCATTCCTTTTTTTTTCCCACCCAAGCTTGTTGTTGGGTACTTGTTGAAGATACTCGTATATATTAAAGTAAAACCTCTTGTTTGCCGTGATTCAACAACGTTCGCTGACCCTTGTAAGCTGGAATTTTTAAGTCGAAGGTTGGAAAACGGATTTTATGTAGCATATTATCATGTCAACACAACGTATGAGATAAGAATTTGAAAGAAAAACGTCGACTACAAAGAAAGTGCAAGCGCAAGATTCATTGCTGCACGACTTGAATCAGGCCCTGGAACCTCTCCACCATGGCCCGTCTCTTTTCCATAATCTTCTCGCCTCTTTCGTGCAGCTTTTCCTTCTGGAGCTCAATCCTCTTCATGATGTCATCGTGGTATCGCTGGGCCTTGCGATAATTCTCAATCAGCTCCAGCATCTTTTCTTCGAATCTCTTGTGGAATTCTGTGGAATTTAAAATCAAAGGATGGGATCGACGAGAGTGATGAGTTACCTTGCATCTTTTCTTCGAATTCTTCAATGGGCATTGGCTTGGAAGGCGTCGAATCGCGTTCAAAGTTTTCTGTTTGTCCACGTCCTCGAACTTCATCATCTGCTTCATTGTCACCGTCGTCCTCGAGTTGCTGCATGGTGTGCTGTCGGTGCTGTTCCGCGTTCCTTCTTTGCTGTGCATGATGTTGCTGCTGTTGGAATGCAGAGGGGCCGTTTTGTGGAAGACCGTTTTGTTTGTTATAAGGAACTTGTTGCATTCGGCCAATCATCATTTGTCGCTGTTGTTCTGCGAGGCTTAGGGTGTTGTGTTTGGCCGATTGAGGTTGGTTTGGTTGTCTTGCCATGGCTTGTTGCTGGAGTTTTGGAGGCTCGGATGCCACGTCGTCGTCTGTCAGGTCGATGCTGGTGGCATTTTTGGGGTTGGAATTCGAAGATACGTGTTGCTGTTGTTGCAATTGCTGGTGCTGTTGGTTCATCTGAATTTGGAGGGGGGAATAAAAAGGGAAGATACCGCGATGAGAAATGAATGATCGCTCCATAAGCTTGCACCGTTTACCTGAATGCTCTCCTCGAAAAACAGGTCGTTGTCAAAGAACCCGTCGTCGTCCATCTGAAATTCCTCCGAATCGGCTCTCATCATCCCGCCTCCAATCATTCTCGCATGGATCAAGTTCTTGTTGACGATTCCAGAACCTATAGGAGATCCTACCATCCCTTGCTGCTGTTGCTGCTGCATCTGCTGCAATTGCATCGCTTTCTGCATCTGCATCCCCTGAGAAAGCACCAATGCTCCATTGTTCTCTCTAACCCGTTTCGGAATCTGCTGCTGCTGCATTCCCATATCATCGTCCATGGATTCTTCTTTGATCTCCACGCCGTCGTCGGTTGTGAACCCCATCGATGCTACATCATATTTCCTTTTCCCACCAAATCCTCCTCCTCCTCCCACGGTGCCTCCGGCCGATGTTGGGGGCGATGGGATTTTTCCATAGGGTGGAGGTTGCATGCGCTGCTGGGAATGCTGTGGGGTTTGCTGTTGCGTGGGAATGGACTTGTTTGTGTGCATCCTGGAGGGCATGAGGTATGGTTCAGGTGGGGAGGTGGATTGGACTGGTGCGTTGGGCGGTTTTGAGTTGGGAGGTGTTGGAGAGGAATAGTTTTGTTGTTGGTGCTGTTGCTGCTGCTGCTGTTGCTGTTGTTGCTGGAGGTTGTGGAGCTGCATGCCTCCACCGAGTCGCTTCAATGTTGGAAGCTGAAATGATGACATGGCTTTCGGGCGAAAAAAATATGAAAGATTTCTGGATTTTTTCAAAAGGTTTTATCCTGGTGTATGGAGATATAGAATAAAGTATTGAATCAGTTTGTATGCGCAATTACACGTTTGCTCCGTTCCAGCAGCTGCAAAAATGTCTTTGCCAATCATACAAACGTCATCGTTTTTTCAATAGAAAATACAAGCAGACACAAACTGTAAGAAAGAACCAAAGAAAACATCACTTTCTAAACCGTGACCACCACGATATGACGTCAATCGATGCCCTCGACGTCCTTCCATCCACGTTATCCTCATCATCCAACCTCGGCCTCCGAAGATCCAACGACACGCTTCTGTCTTGTCCGCTTCTTTGCATGAACCTTGGGATCGGAATGCAGGTTGGTCTGGATAAGAGACGGTTCAAGGTTGCAGGTGAGAATTCGAGGCTTGGTGTTGGGGATGATGGGGGGCAAGGTGAATGGCTGGAAGGCTCCGGTGTAAATGAAGGTAAAGGAAGAGGAGAAGGAGAAGCAGAGGGAGACGGCGGGATTGGTGATGGGGAAGAGCTGGAGATGGTTGTAGTGAGAGGAGGGATGGCAAAGTCTAGAACGAGTGCTTCGGCCACCATGTTGGAGGTTTCAGGATCCAAATTTTCGGAGTCCGTCCTTCTTGTGTCGAGGGATTCCCAAAGGGACCCAGATCTTGTGATGACGGGGTTAATTTCGGCAGAGCTGGAAGAGCCCGGAAAGTCAAAGGATAAGGATGAATACGTCGACATGTGTTTGGGCTCCTGTTCTTTGTCAAAGTCGACAGGTGTTGAGGAGTAGGGAGGTGGAGGGACGCGTTCGATAATTCTCAGACGAGGCATCCGGCGGAGAGCTCTTTGTTGGCGGGGCTGGTGGGGTTGTGGCGGTGGTGCAAAAGAGTTTGAGGAGGTGATGGAGTCGGAAATTTGAGGGCGATTGGATGTTGTTTGAATGGTGGATGCCATGGATGCATATGAGTTTCGGTTTCGGATGGATCTGACGTCGTGGAAAGCACATTCTCTGGAATTTCCTCTGTCATCGCAGGTGCAAAGGTCGCCTCCATAGGCTCCTATGTAGTAGGGAGGCACAAAACAGAATTCTTCCTCAACACTTTTTTGCTCGGACGGAGGAACATTCTGCTTGCACTTCCTCCATGGCCATTGGAATTTCTGACGCTGATGAGCCTTGATGGGATTGGGGCTTTGTCGCAAGGGGCCAAAGAAAGCTGTGAAGGGATCTTCCGAGATGTAATAGGCGGTTGCGGAAGATGAGGCTGATAAAGCTGATGCGGGTGTTGTGGTGGATGGTGAAGGTGAAGATGTCTGGGCCCGATGGCAAATGATGCATGGGGCTGGCATGAGGGATGAAGATGATCTTGGGCTCCTGCTAATTGGGGCCGATGAGGTTGGTGAGCTGTCGCAGCGCGTTCTTCTTGAGAGCCGTGATGCTGGTGCTGCTGTGCTGTAGAAACCTGAAAAAAGGGATGCTTGTTAGTTTGCCGCCTTTCATATGCTTTTCGATGGCTGAGGCTTTGTGTTGGTGTGAGGTGATTGCCATGATCCATCCAAAAAATTGTCACCAATGCCAAGGAGCCCACAAGTTGGTCGAGTTTGTGGTTGAGACAGCACGATAACAGAGCGTCGGAGGGAGTCGGAGAAAGGCGGAACGAACACAAGAGGAGTCACAGAGGATGAGAGAGCGGGAGATCTGATGGAATGGAAAGGAGAGCGGTGGATGTGGTGGATGGCGGTGGAAGGAGAGAGAGGATACTGCAACTGGTGGCAAAGCAGCTACACGGATAACAAAGGCACTCACATCCATTACACACGATGGTCGAGCAACATGACAGCGTTTGGCCCGAAGTGAATTGGTGCAATCCGCAGATCGGGCAGCTGAAGCTTTGAGCCATGAGGAATTGAGATGGCGCAAAGAAATCCATAGATGAGAATTGAGAAGATCTTGGAGACGGGGTGTTGTTTTTTTTTGCTTTTTAGCGTTGAGGACTATGGTTTCGACGAAAGCTGCTGCGACGCTCTCGACGGGGTATAATCGGAACGACAGATCAGAGAGGAAATGGGGATGGCTGACAATGCGCAGAACCTTTTATCTTTCTGGAGTGTTGATCCAAAGAAATTTTTTTTTGCTTCGCCCACAACACCTTCTCGCGTGTCAGCTTTCGTGCATGCATGTGCCAAGTCGATGGCATTGGATGCCAACAACAGAACGGGTCAATGGGAAACGTCATTCTAAGAAAGACTCTGGGGCTTCAGCGACAGCAATATCATCCCTTAGCTTTTGGCTGTTTCTTTATCCGTTCATCGTTGCCTTGCAGATCGCTGCGAAAGCCTATGGAAAGAAACGAAATTGGAGAAAATTCGCGAGAGTGAAGAGGAATCGGGTGCCATCAAGGGCCGACAATATTCACCAGAATAACGACGACATTAACGCAAATGACCCAAACGGAGCTTGGAGTTCCATATTTCTTGGAAGGGAAGAACCCCACTCCAGTATCAACTCAAAAGCCTTAGGCATGTTAAGACAAATAAATTTCAGAGCCAGGGTTACCAAACGGCCCATTGGTGAAGATGCTTTTCGACTAAACAAGATCGGATTTCTGCTGGGATTTCAATTATCGGGATCATTACATGCAGAGAAGAGGGGAGTGTAATTTTAACTTCGCATTTGCAAAAAGACTTTTTCCTTTGCATATGTATGGATTTTTTTTTTACTATTTCGCGTTTTCAAGTATATTTCAGAAATTCAGAGAAGAGTCAAAAGGCGGCCCGTTCGCAAAGACGAATTTTCCGGTGCACCTGAGTGTTCAAGGCCACACGAAGAACGTTTTGGTGCTTTTACTACCCGATAAACATTTTTTTTATAAATACATTTTGGAAAAAAAAAAAAAAAAAAAAGGCAAACGAAATTAGAGAAGCACCACTTAAAAAGGTAAAAAAATAAATGCTAGCACCAAGGGTGGGGTTCGAACCCACGACATTCCGCTTAGAAGGCGGACGCGCTGCCACTGCGCTACCCCGGCACGTGAATTTATTCATTGGTCGGAATAGGTGTCTATGACCGAGGCGTGAATAGCCTAAAAGTCGCGAACACTGTCCAGAAGGAAAGGAAGAGTGGAAGACGAGATGTATTGGGAAATATATGGACAAGAGAAGATGATCCTGATGTGTCTCCTCGTGTGGAGAATGGAAAGGGATGGAGCCTTTTATAGGCGACAGAGAAGACAATGAAAAGGAGTGAGCCACAGAAGGCTCACCGACGTGAAAGGCACAGATAATGATGAAGGAATAAGCACAGAGGAAAGGCACAGATGGGAGGCCGGAAGTAGAGAGGCAATTCCGTCACAATTGAAGCTTGTTCATATGATTAGATATATGACAAATTAGTACATCGGGACTTAACAATTTTCACAGGCAACACCTCACAAAAGTTGCATAAACAGACTAAAAAGATTGTAGATATAACAGCTGATTTATTCATCCATAAACACGGACACTGCATTTCCGTTATAGTATCAGCTGCACAAGGACAGAGAATTTCTTCTTCCTTTTAATCAAATCACCTGGACCAAATAACTATATTGCCATAGAACATACCTTATATAAAATAAAATAAAAAAAGGTTGCGGATGGAGCTGCCCTAGGAAAGCAACACCACGCCCTGCTAAGCGTCACCGCTTCTCCCCACACTTCTGCCTTCCTTCACGCTCTCCCGTAACCTGGCCTAAATCAAGTCTTTTCGCCTGAAGAATTCCTTGCAATCCTGAAGTTCCGGCTGCTCATTCCACTATACTCGGGATCCCGTACATGTTCGAAATGTTCTCGCCCAATGGATGCGTTTCGCTACCACGCCCTGGCTTGCCACTCCTTCTCTGGAGATCTGGGTTTGATTTCTCGCCATAACCGCCTTGGAGAGATGCCCTTTTTTATTTGGCTCAATTGCTGGCATTCCGTGGAGTCCCAACACTTTAGCACTGTGGTATATATAAGACGTAGAAAAACAAATAATAACTTTAACTGCCGGGGTAGCGCAGTGGCAGCGCGTCCGCCTTCTAAGCGGAATGTCGTGGGTTCGAACCCCACCCTTGGTGCTATTGCTTTTTTTTAACCTTTTCAGTGGTGCTTCTTCTAATTTCCTTTGCCTTTTTTTTCTTTTTTATTTCCAAAATGTATTTATAAAATGTTTATCAGGTAGTAAAAGCACCGAAATTTGTTGATGCTTTATTTTTTCTAACCACAAATGACCACAAATGTGCCATGTACCCTGCCTGCAGCAACTCCATAGACGTTTTTTAACCTTTGTTAAACGTGCTGAGTACCCCCGCAGCAACTCATTATAATCCAAAAGACTCTTTTAAATGCTCGATCTTGCCTTTGGCTGGCCCTTGGCTCTGAAGTATATTTGCCGTAAAATACAAAACCTCATTTGAAGAGCTCCTCGTATTGCTTTTTCTGGACCAAACTAACTGGAAAAAAACGTACTCGAACAATTATTTAGGTTGTCTTTAATTTTTTAAGTAGTCACGCCAAAGGACGTGGAAGCGAGGGGACTGGTACATATTTTGGTTTCGCTTCAGCCCTGGGGGATGCTTTAGTTGCGGGCGGTAGAGGGGATGAGGTTGACGCAGATGACGCCAACGCAGCCGATGCCGGGGCGGATGATGTGACAGAGGAGGTCATTGGCAACGACGATTTTGCAATAGATCGCAGAGCAGCTAACCTTGCTGCTATATCGGCATCCTGGGATGCTGTCCGCAATGGTGCCTCAAAGGTAAACTTTGTTTCAAGTGCAGATGCCGTAGAGCTTGTTCCAGCATTGAGGTTGATGGGAAAGGTAATTTGCCTGGAGTTGTTGGTGGTAGGTAACTTTGAATCTGCGGTCTCATAGCTGATTCGCGGGCCGCTAATGTATGGTGGTGGGGGGATTCTCTCCACTTTGGCCTTTTCCTGTTTCAATCTTGGGGTAGGCTCGATAGTGGATTGTGTCTGGATATTGGATGGTCCTGCCTGAGAGGAGGCTTGTGATGGGAATAGAGCGGATGAGATCGACGGATCTTGCTGCAATTGATTGTTTTGCGTCTCTGAAGCTATGGCGACAGTTGATTGACGGATTGGACATTCGATTGAGATCATTGTGTTTCTGTGAAAGGCGCAGATATTTGCAATGTTCCCTCTATCCTCACATGTACACAGTTCTCCTCCGTAGGCTCCGACATAGTATGCCGGTGCGGGCATGGCATCTTCTTCCGCCAGGCGCTCCACGTAGACATCCTTTTCCTTGTTCTTCCAGGGCCAGCCAAATTTGAATGCACGAACCCCTTTGGTGGTCTCACGCAATGCATCCAAGACCTGTGCCATGGAGAATTTGGTTTCTGAGAAGGGAGAATGTTGAGATTTTGGTGTTGGTGTGTGCCTCGGAATGTTGGCATGAGTGGCGCTGTCTCCTGCTCTGCAGGTTGGACAATAGGTTGGATAGGAGGGCGTACGATAAAAAAAGTTTTGAGTCCGCACGTTGGATATTCTAAAGAAGCCTTTGAAAAATTGGTTAAGCGAGCACGGATGAATGTAAAAGTGGAAATTACTCAAATTAGAGCGAGAACTCACATCCATGACAGACAATTGTCGAACAGCAAGCAAGAGCCTTGCCTCCAATGAATTGATCAAGCGAGCAGCCTGGGCAACAAAAATAGGGATGTGGTGGATGAAACTCCATGTTCAATGATCCTTTAGTCCAACTTCAACTTTGAGAATCTGAGATCTGTCGAAGTTCTATTGTTCTTGCTGAGCTCCAAACGAGAGGTGGTCACGACCTTTATATTGATCCAACAAATAGTACTTGACGTGTATGTTGCATCAAATAGGGTTATTGGGGCTAACACCATCATTCAGCGCAGCATTCAACACCTTGCTTGATGACTGTTCCATCATGGGCCGCTGATCTCGCAAAATTTTCGAATTGGGGCTAAGAAAGAGAAGGATCCCGTCAAGGTGGCTGCCGCCCTTTCGCGACCTCTTGCTATAATAGGCAGGAGCATCCCGCTTAGCCATGTAATGATATGCAATCGCTCAACAAGTGTCTAGAGCAGCTCACTCACTTCTTCAGCTTAACGTTTTTAAAACGATAACTCCAATCACGATTCTTTGCGAAAAATGAAGAGAACCCCTTATCACATCATGTTCATCCAATCTCTCTCCTCCTCGGAATACCCCGTTAACATCTGGAATGGGAAGGAAGTCGTTCAAAACGTGATTGGAGTTTCCAAGCCGTCATTCCTCAAAATATTCTGCAAAAAAAGAAATTCTAGATACGTAGTTTCCAGGACGCTAGGATTGGACGGCAGCAGCTGAGAGTGCTCATCGGTACGCGCGCCCACCTTCTTCATCAATCGTTGCGATAAGGCACCTTCAGCGGCGTCTCTCAAACAAAATTTTTGGGGCCATCATTTTTCGTTGAAACTCAGTGGGGGAAGATCCCGAAGAACATTCCGGCAGCAACCTCCACCATATCTGTGTTTGTGCTTTGGTGGTTGGAAAACGGTTGATATCCCCTGAATTCATCGATTGTCTCGCCTTTTCGGATCCCCTGATAAAAAGTTGAACCTCGATCGAGGCTGTCCTTGTCAAATTTGGAACATTGGATCTTCCATTTCAATCTTGCAGAATAAGGTATGAGACGTTATCGTTTGGGATAGGATGTGTGAGCGCTGAGGGACGGCATTCTTGGTTGATTAGGACGAATGGATGGATGGATGGATGGAATTCTGTTGAGGCGATCATGGATGGGATCGACATAAAGGTAGCAGCCGTCAACGGCAATTTTCACGCCTTAGCGACGCAGCTGGATCAATTGATGAAATTTGGGAAGGGGACGTCAGATCGTGGCTGTTTCTAATCGCTTGCCTTTTCTAGAGCTCTCCTCTCCTGATATTGGAATTTCTGTGCCACAACCCGCATTCATCATGGGTCTCAAACGCAAACAACCAGAAAAGAAACTCCCCGTCACCAACCAGGCATTCATCCCTTCATCTTGTTCAGCAAAGCTGGAAGGTGTCCTTCCGTTTGAAGTTATCCATCAGGTATTTTGGTGCCTTTTCGAAGTATTGAAGCGTCAAGATCCTGTTGATGGTGGATTCTCGCACTCGCTGCAGGTGCAGTCGACTGAGCAAAAGGTTTGAGCAAGACTCATGGCCGTTTTATCCAGAGTACTAACACGAACCAACTCCTCTTTGGAAACGTAAACAATCTAGATGGAACCGCATTATTTACAACTCCCCTGACCTATTCCGTGTCCTCGATCTTTCCCATCGTCAAACCCTCGGCGGAGAGAAATTCATGGACACGGACCCAGCCTCCAGACGGAACGTCAACTCAACCCTGATGCGACTTCTGAATCCATGCCCAATCATCCCGCATGTTCATTCCAACCCCGACAGACCCCATCGCTTTTCAAGACTTACCAGGCTCGACGTTTCCTGCACTTTCTTTGACCCCATCTCCTTCGCCGACCCGGCTATCTACACCATTCTTTCACCCACACTTACCACTTTGAACCTCAACGGATGCCCGTTGGTGACTTCCGGCTCCTTATTCTATTTGAGCCATTTGAAGAGCCTGACGACTTTGGATTTGAGCCATTGCGAAATGGTTGATGATGTGGGCTTGGAGATTCTTGGCAGATTTGTGGATTGGATCGTTGCCTTGAATTTGAGCTATCTGTTTAAGCTGACAGATGCAGGAGTCAAGAGATTATTTAGGATGAAGGGGTTGGTGTCGTTGAACCTGATGGGATGCTGTAAGTTTCCTTCTTTTTAATGGCAATTGAGAAGGGCAAGGTCTAATGTTTTTTGACTTTTGCAGGCAGGATCAAGTCTTATCCATGGGCAATTGCAAACGATCACCCTAGAGCAACGCTTCCAGTCAAGGAAATCTCGATAGGAGAAGATTCAAGGATTCAGACACGAGGATTTTGGTTACTGTGGTGCACTTGGCAGCAGTGGGATATGGGCAAGATTGTTAGGATCTG